TCGTGCCAAAAAATAGAAAATAACATTTGTACAAGATTTAGCCAAATGTGGCTGTGAATAGGGGGAAAAGTAATTAATGGACTAGGGATAACTCAAAAATGGTAAATCGTATAATAATGGTCCATAGGTTAAAAATCCCCCAAATGCCCTGGTACGGCCGAGAGTGGGGAGAGTCTACTCTCCCTCTCGAAATGCTCTCATATGGCCAGCGAATATATAGCCTCTGCCAGGGAAGTCCTACTCACTGCCTTCTCGTGGCGGGGGTGTTGTTTACGAAAGTGAGAGGACGAAAAGCGAATGTCCGGCGCTATAACCGGATTGGTGGACACGGAAAGTTCACCTAGGGGAGTTGGAAAACCCTGATTCCAAACCAATGGTGCACATGGGCTCCAGTATCCTGATGGAACGAATGGCGGAAGAACCTGTCATTGGTCAACGGCTACCATGGGACTGCATCTCCTCACGATGCTCCACTGCCTTGTGGATCAGACCTTTAGGTCAAAGGCTCGGGGTGTGGTCCCCTAAGAAAACCACCTGCTTCGGTTTGGGCACCCGGGCAGTATCACAGCCCACACACAAATGAATGAAATGATGAACTCTATTGACGATTCTATTCCTGCTCATATTATAAGCAAGACAATTTACATTATTATTATTATTATTATTATTATTATTATTATTATTATTATTATTATCATTAATATTACTTACCATATCGCTAATTCACCTCCTTTTATCCCCAATTTGTGTAACCTTACTCTTCAACTTATGCAGCAGCTCGCTCTTGGTGGAAAATCTGTCCTATCTAAACGATCTCCAGTCACTGTCTGGTTGAAAGTGAATGCTTCCACCGATAATGAATACTGAGGCAGTCTTTCTGAAACCACGTACGCCGTTCAAGCTGGCTTCCTTCAACGTTCGCACACTAATGCAGATCAGACAACAGATAGGGCTGGCTATGTCTTTGGAAGGTCTTAATGTTGACGTTTGTTGTCTATCCGAGACCCGTATTCAGGACTCTAGTGAAGTACTACAAATTCGCTCTCCATCTGTCGCCTCGAAAAGCTTGTTCCACGTGCGCTTATCCGAAGACCCTGTGGCATCTTCGTCTGGTCTTGCTGGCGTTGGCGTCGCACTAAGCGCTAGGGCTGAGGCAGCACTAATCGATTGGATCCCCATTAACAGTCGGTTATGTGCTGTTAGATTAGAAAGTTCCATCAAAGTGAGAAGAAACCGGCGTGAGAAACGGTGTCTTTTCGTCATCTCCGCCTATGCTCCGACAGATTGCAGCCCGGATGCAATCAAGGATGAGTTTTACCATCAGTTAACAGTTCTTCTCCAGAAAGCGCGTTCGACAGATATTGTAGTACTAGCCGGAGACTTGAACGCACAGGTCGGGCGTCTAGGCATAGAAGAGAGTCGTCTAGGTGGCCGATGGGGACTTGTTGGTCGCAGGACAGATAACGGGGACCGTTTGCTGCAACTGTGCACAGACCACAACCTGTTTCTGGCCAGCACTAACTTCCGGCACAGTCATCGCCGGTGTGCCACCTGGCGTCCTCCCTCTGCATCCCAAGCCTGGACTCAGATTGATCACATCGCGATCAGCTACCGCTGGCGTGGTTGTGTACGAGACTGCCGCTCCTTTTGGAGTACCTATCTGGAGTCTGATCATGCCCTGGTCTGCGCCAATCTCACCTTACTTTTCAGTGGCCGAAGGATTGACCACCACCAACGGATTGATATTAGTAAACTGGCTGCAACTCCTGTTGCAAGTAAGTATCGAGCGGAGCTAGCCTCTAGGCTAGCTACCATCCCGCCGAAAAGTATAGATGAGCATTGGTTGCATCTTCACGACGCCATGAAAATGGCGAGTAAAGCCGCTTGCGGCTTCGCGAAACGTCCCGCTTACAAGCACTGGGTCTCTTCTGGCTCCTTACAACTGATCAAAGCCCGTCGGTCTACTCCGGGTGACCGTGAGTTTGACCACAAACGAAGGCTGTTACGTAATGAAATTGGGCAAAGCTTGCGTAAGGACCGAGAAGCCTGGTGGTCGGAGCGTGCTAATGAGATGGAAGCAGCAGCTGCATCTGGTAACTGCCGGAAGCTCTTCCAACTCATCCGAGCCACTGGCAGCAAGAAGTCTGGTGTGAGTGAAACAATCTACGAGGATGATGGGATGCCAATCACTAACATCTCCCGACGTCTTGGACGATGGGCGGAATTCTTCGAAGGGCAGTTCAACTGGCCTGCTGCTCCGGCAACATCAACCAGCTTGTCCTGCCCCCCATGGCCGGTGACGACTGTTCCACCAAACGAGGCGGAAGTCCGCAAGGAACTCCAACTCTTGAAGCGCTACAAATCACCTGGCCCAGATGACTTACCTCCGGCTCTTTTTAAAGATGGTGGCGACTTTCTGACTAAGGAATTGACTGTGTTGTTTGGAAAGGTTTGGGAGCAAGAAAGTGTTCCAACATCATGGAATGAGTCAATAGTCGTCCCTATCTTTAAAAAGGGTTCGCGTTGTTCCTGCAATAACTATCGGGGGATAAGTCTACTTCCGATTGCGTCCAAACTATTGGCTTCTATCATTCTTCGTAGGTTGTTTAAAACCCGAGAACGATTGACTCGCGAGGAGCGGGCTGGTTTTCGTTCTGGTCGAGGATGCATTGATCACATCTTCACCTTCCGCCAAATGTTAGAACACCGTCATACTTATCGCAGGCCAACAATCGTAGTGTTTCTTGATATCAGGGCTGCCTTCGATTCGTTGGACAGGACTGTTCTCTGGGATTGTCTATTGAAGAAGGGTGTGCCTGAGAAGTTCATTAACATCTTAAAGGCCCTGTACACGAACACCTCAGGCAGAGTGAGGGCATACAACCACCTTTCTCCCTTGTTCCATTCGAGCAGTGGGGTTAGGCAGGGTTGCCCGATCTCACCATTCCTCTTCAACTTTGCCATCGACGACATCCTAGAAACAGCTCTGGTGGATGTAAGTAATGGCGGTGTGGATATGTTGCCTGGAGAACGACTTCTCGACCTTGAGTATGCGGATGATATTGTCTTACTGTGCGATAATGCCCAAGGCATGCAATCAGCACTTAATCAGTTGGCAATCAGTGTCCGCAGGTACGGCATGTGCTTTGCACCCTCCAAGTGCAAAGTACTTCTACAAGACTGGCAGGATTCTCATCCTGTACTCACCCTGGATGGTGAGGAGATCGAAGTAGTTGAGAAGTTCGTGTATCTAGGTAGCTATATAAGTGCTGGTGGTGGCGTGAGTGATGAGATTGATGCACGTATAATGAAAGCCAGATCGGCTTATGCCAATCTGGGCCATCTTTGGCGCCTTCGTGATGTTAGTCTGGCTGTAAAAAGTCGGATTTACAACGCGTCGGTGAGAGCAGTTTTGCTCTATGCTTGTGAAACCTGGCCTCTCCGAGTTGAGGATGTTAGACGTCTCTCTGTGTTCGATCATCGTTGTCTCCGAAGGATTGCTGACATACAGTGGCAACACCATGTTAGTAATGCAGAGGTTCGGCATCGTGTGTTCGGGCACAGAGACGATAATTCAATTGGTGTCACCATCTTGAAACACCGACTTCGGTGGCATGGACATGTTTTACGAATGTCGTCCCAGAGACTTCCACGTCGTGCATTATTTGCCGACCCTGGGACTGGTTGGAAAAAGCGGAGAGGAGGTCAGTGTATGACATGGTGTCGTGGCATGAAAGAGAGCTGCAAAGGGCTAGCTTCTGTTGGTCCTTCACGACTCCTTGGTTGGGGTCCGAGAGATGGTGCAACACAGTGGCTAGAGACGTTATCAGATATGGCTCAGAATAGAAGCCAGTGGCGATCCTGCTGCAACCTTCTTTTACTTTCTACATAAAGTATGGTTCTTACTTTCCTATTTGAAAGAGTCTTCTGGTTGTACATTTTAGTCCGCCTTATCTTTTCATCCCTTCTCTTCCTACTTTCATTATTTTGTGTGGCGCATATGTACCTGGTGCCCTTTTGTACCAATATATATGTGTTTAAATAAATAAATAAATAAATAGGTTAAAATAAAGCTTATAATAGGAGGGACACGAATATGAATAGTTTAGTTACTTAACAATCATATAACAGGAAATATACATATCGTATTGGTCCATGAATAATTCTCAAAGTTACCATTCATAGATCTCCACGGGATATAACAGGATGCAGACGCGTCCGGTTAACGAGTGCCAAATAGGGAGAAACGCGCGTCTTGGATTCCACTGTTAGCCACTATCCATCTTTTCTTATATAGAAACTTATAATTGTAAATATGTAATACACTTGCAAATATTTCAATATTTGAAACAAACCATTCTTAGCTTCTCAACCGACAGCCTGGTCTAATATTTCGTGTAAGTGAATTTTTTGGATCGATGATTGTTTAAGATGTTTTCATGGCTTTTAACCGTTTGCTTAAACGAGCCTTTCGAATTTCAAAACATAAATAATTCATTTTGTGTATTTATTGATTTCATTCTACATGACGAAGCTCCGGAGACGGTTATCCAACTATTATGTACATTTTTACTGATATATAATGCCGAGATGACGAATTCAGATTGCCAGGAATAAAAGTTATTTCACAATAATTTTTAGATGTAAGCTAGTATTTAAATTCGCGGATTACGAAGACTCAATAATTGGACCTAATCTGGTATTCCACATAAATAGTCAAACTGATTGAAGCAAACATCATTGTATAATGTACTGAGCCATACCGTTAAGTAAAATAATTGGTCACTACTTATGAAATAATAGACTTGTTAGTTTTCAACAGTCAGACAGAACCGATATTCATCGAACCTGTAGCAATTTGTCTTTAGCGTTACGATCATTAACTGAGTATTTAAAGTTGGGTTTTGCGGCATATGTTATCTTGTCAATGACCTTATTCATACAGACTAAAGATATTCATTACTTAGATCGATTTTCTTCTTTCAAATGTAGTGTGTTCATTGCTATTAACCAATCAAACCTCCATTCTTTCACCTATTCAAATAATAACTGTGTTCTGATTGGTCCTTTTAATAGTTAAAATTACTGGTTAGGTTTAGTTACGCCTACTTTGAGACATAAAAACAGCTACTAAAATCTAACTGATCATATCATCTTGAAGATACTCGTTGTAACCTTATACACTTCAACCAGAATTAAAAATGGGGACATTTGGTGGGCATGCATTACCTGGAAGCTTTTTTATCATCTATGGTTTATGGTCAATTTGGCATATATTAGAGAAATTTTATCAACGAAAAAGTTACGAATTAAATAAGTCTAGTGAACCGGCTCCTGAATATACATGTAGAATATCCTATCCAATTGAAAGAAAAAAACTATCTGAAGGTGATATGGCGAAATGTTTTTCTCGTTTTAAAAAATCAGTCCCATTGGATTCATTAGCTAAATTGGTGTGCTGTATTATTGGAATAACAGGAGAAGTGATAACAGGATTCAGTAAAGACTGGATATTTGTAAATATTGGTAATGCGCAACATTCTACAATGTTCTCATTATTTGGGCTAAGCGGAGCTATTGAATTGTGCATATTTTATGGGATCATTAAAATTCCATTGTACGTAAATATTTACTACTTATTTGTAATAATTGTACATGTAAATTTGAATGCTATTTATCGATCAATTTATGGGAGAGGATTCATTAATTTGAAAACAATGAGTAAACAGTAGTTTTTAATAATTTTGACATCATGCGTTACCGTTATAAATCCATACTCATGTGTTACAATGAAACCCAATAGTTTATACCCCCTGACTTCAGTCAGTTAACGGGATTACACGACCATCATTTATAACCTATCTCACGACCCTTACTGGTTGAATTTCAATGATCTCAGTTTCTCACTATAACTCTAGGAATGTCCTCTCAAATATCACTCCAGTTGTTGAAGGTTTATAGGAAGTTTCCTCTTCACAGTCGCGTACACTACGAAGGGATATTTCCTTCTCAGGTGTTTTGAATTAAAATGGGAAATTAGTGACCTTGACCATCCGGAAGCGTGAACACAGAGCTCAGAGCTCAGATATTTGAAGTCGGTTATCCACGGACTCTTCTAAAACTCCACTTACCTTGTGAGTAGGTAGAAGCACTGAAGATGCTGATTGTTCAAGGAACCTAAACGATAGAATGTTTCAGCTAATATATCTCATTCGAGTAATCATGATAGACAAGCCAGACCACCACATTAAGGTATTAGCTATTATTAGACCTCTTAAATTGGGTTGCAAATGAACATATGATTATTATTATTATTGTTATTATCAGTAACTAATACGGGGCTTTGTGGAACATGTTGAGATATTATCTAGGCAAAGACTGCATGATGTAAACTACAAAAGTTGAACAATCTGCACAAATAATCTATAAAAATTTAATTGGGTCCTATGTAATATGAGTCAAAATTTTGGGAAGTTAAAATATATTTTGTCATCAAATAGAGAATAATAGAAAATCAAAGAACACTGTGTGATAACTACTTCATACTCATTTTCACTCTCATGACCCCATATAAAGTGGTGACCTTGATATTTTAGGTCTATTGGGGAGTATAATAATATTAGTCGGTCTGTTATTTATGATCCAAAAGTCTACAATTTCGACTTAATCTTTTTATTTCATACTCCAAGAATTATTGTACTAATAAAGACTTTATTTACTTCGCAAGTTTTTGGTTCATTTGTTCATAAAACTACAGACAGATCAGTATCGAAGACCGTCATCAGTAGCAGGATTATTACTTACTTCGATGCCTTTTCATGGTTTGTATGGTTTCGAGATAATTTTCGTCAAATGTATGTGTATCGTAATAACTCCTAGTTCTTAAAGGTTCTCATATCAAGGTCATTCGGTAATATAAATCGTGCTCAACTTAACTAATATCTTAACAAATCACTTTGGTTGATATTTACTTGGATTAGAAATATATTTTATCAGTCTCTTTCACATGATTATGAAACCATTTTCTTCATAATAGCTTTTTTCTCGCAGTACATCCTTTGATTTGAAATTTATCAGTATTGATATTTTCTAACAATCGCTAATGTTCACTCGGATTTAAGAAATGTTAGTGGTGTACCAAGTATCGATTAATTTTGAGTTAGAGTCTTCTGAAGTTCTAGTGAAAATCCATGATATTAGTTGGAGGTAGTCGACAAGAAACCGTAGACTTAAGTTTCATGCTAGACAGGAGTCATCAGCAAGGAGTAAGTACAGTCGTTGAATTTGTCTGTTGAATTCGAACCCGAGTCACGCGGCTCCCCAGTCTGAAATGACTGAGAAGACGAATTCAAGTTGTCCAACATGCTCAACATAGGGCACTCAATGTTGAGTCAATTAGACCAGTGATCATGTTGCAACTTGGTCTTTAGAATTCGACAAGCACTAAAGGACCACACAAACATGATTTTGGTCACTACATGGTGATTACTATTTGTTAGTCGTAATTCATCAATCCAAACTACATTATTGTAAATAATCAAAATACGATTATTTTCAAAAAATATACTTCCCTTTGATAATCATAAAGTTAATTTCAGTAAAAATATAAAGCAAAATTATGTTTCCAAAATGAATCAAGAATAATTAAATTCTTTATTTAATGAATTTTTTTATTAATTCAACTGACCTTATTATTTAAGTACAACAAAGCTCATGGAATAGAATCACGAGTAGTTCAGTCAGATAAATATTTGAACATTTTATTAATCGATTTTATTGTATAATGAATATAAACAGCCTGATCAATCCATCAGTAATAGTTTCGTTTTAAGGATTATGGAATTCAGTTCCATTTTTATACTCGATTGATCACTGAGTGGTGATCGATCGTTACGGACTTATTTCAGATACAATTGAAGATCAGGGAGCATTGGATAGCTGTTGTATTCTAAAACTGAACTTTTCATTACTACTCACACATGGCCCAACCAGGGGCCAAGGTGAACCATTAGTTACTGGAGTGCAAGACAATCGTACAACTGCAAGCCCAAACATTTAGCATTTGCCTCTAAACTTGAAGGTTCTAAGTTCGATTCTAGTCAGAGTCATTGCTGCCCAGTGTTAAGAAATCTTAAACTTCTGTGAAACAGCTGTCTAGTGCCTCAGGATTTCTACTGTTTCTCCAAACAAGATTAATCTGTGACAAAAACAACCTACAAACTTAACCAATCTCTACAAAATGATAAAATATGATAATCTTAATACTACACACTGACAAGTCAATGTAAAATTGCGTTTATTTACTTGTTTTCTTTCCAACACTAATATCATTTTAACCTCTTCCCCCCCCTCGTTTTTTTATCTTTCAGTCAATCAGAATATCTTTTTCATGGAATAGCACTATGGGGAGAATTATTTTTATTCGTATTTCATTTACATCATAGAAATCCACTAGATGTTTACCTACATTTATTATTAACCGGTATGATTATATTAGGGGTTCTGGTATCAGTTGTTGAATTATTACATCCACACGAACCTATTTTTGGTTTAATACGTAGTTGGACTTATCTTATGCAAGGCACATGGTTTTGGCAAGTGAGTTCCATCAATATCTTCTGAAGTTATTCGCTATTTTATTTCTTTACGGTTATTACTCCTTTCTACATTTCAACTGCTAAAGTTTTGTTTGTTAAAGTCTATATTATCCGGTTGTTGGTGTTAAGAACTAGAATTGATCAGTCTCGTTTGATGTGTGTTCATTCTGATTAAAGTGCCTGGATTCTGCCATTCAGTTTCAAGTTATAGTCGATTTGGATTGTGGTTAACAGTAGAATATATGACGCACGTCTCGTTACATTTGGAACCCGGTTGGTGCATGCATTTGTCACATTCCAGTGTTGGCGTACACACTGAGATCCTCACCCAGTATCTTTTTGAATAACAACGCACTATCCATTGAGCTATTGAGTCTAGATAGCCTCCGGTTTGTTCGAAACCTATAGATGTCATTGATAAAGATCTGTATTTTTCCGTTCATGATGTTAAGGACTAGAATTAGTCAGTTACTAGTGGCTGTCTGTACTCAGTAGCTCAATGGAAAGCACATCAACGTTTGGAGTGTAAAATAGTGGGTTCAAGTTTCACAGTCCGTACATTAACACTGGGATGTAGCAAGTTTATCCAGAAAAAGAGTTCAAGGTTACACTGCTGACCAATATTCTGCTAAAACTTTGTTTTTACAAAACAAATTATCACCACCATCTTTAAAAAAAGCACAACTAGGTCTGTTGACTAAGTTTATCCTAGATAGCTTTCATACTGACGATGTTTGAGAAAATAATTTGTGAGTGAAAAAGTTTAGCAGTTTTTGATTAGGGATGATAATATAACATAGAAATGACCACTTGTGAGTCAATCAAAAGACAGATTTTCTAAATGATTAATTTATGGAGAATAAACAGTAATATTACAATAGCCAAGAATTTACTGAAGTGGGGAGACTTTGGGAACCTTTCTTCTACAGTCTGTTCTTTCTGTAAATCGATAAAATCGTCACACATAAATTCATTCATAATGATTTAAATTATCTTTCTTTGCCAACAGATTTTTAGCAGTTCTCACAATGACCCTGGTTAGGCTTAAAGATTTAGGGTTGGATATATAGGGTGAGGATTAAAAGTTTAGAGTTTAGGATTTAGGATTAAAGATTCAGTGTTAGGGGTTAGTCTGAAAATTAGGGGGTTAAGGTTTTGCTTTGAGTCAGGATTGAGGGTATAGGATGAGAATTTAGTGACAGGGTTGATCGGCATGTTATATACAGTCTACATGGGAAAAAGTGAGCATTTAATGCGTTTAGTACTATCATTTTTACTCTCTTATATCAAAAAACTACTTTCTTAACACTTACACATATTGAACACTGAGCAACAATAGTTCTACTTCTCGTTTCATAAAATTTATGATAAAAATTGATCGCTTTTTAATTTATTTCTATAAGTTCAGACGTTTTCTGGATTCTGATTGACTCATCCACATGCTAAACTTTTAGACTGTTAGTTTCCATGTAACTTAGTAAACAATCAACTTATCAATGTCATATCCTAGAAAATCCTATCTAACATCATTTCTGAAACTTATCAATCTCTGAAATTGTGAGCATTTATTAAAGCATTATAAGATACAACTGATAAGTCACCACAAGTTTACTCCTTGACCTTTGTGGTCTTTATTATCACTTGTTTCATTTATTCTGTAATTCCTAATAGAAAATAATGTATATGAAGTGCACATTGATTTATTTAGAAACTAGGGCATGAAAGCATTTGTCTATCGCCACTGTTATTCTTAACAGGATTCAGTTATCAATCTTTGATTTGAAAGATCCTTTTAATTCTTATGTGGTTATTGGATTAATTATTCAAGTTTAGAATGGTAAAAAGTAACAAAATCTAAGCGTGAAAACTATCCACCTGTGACTCACTATTACTCTGAATATAAGTTTTTATTTAACTCAATAACTGTTGAAAAATTTCTTACTGTTAACGAATTACAGTTAAATATCCATAATCATGTCAATTAGTTCTACACCACAAACGAAATAGTTTAATGCAAATTGTAATTTCTCATTGACCATATGTTTTGGTCTCCTATTTGATGTATATAATTATGTACGTTTTTAAATCTCAATAAAAGAAATTGTATCGGATAATTTTTCTCATGTTGTGATTAAGATTTTGAGACAATAATTTTACAAATGTTAATTAACGTTAGCTTGTACAGTAATAATGAGTAGGAATTAGTGTGATTGACGTATAATCAAAATGTAACATGTCTACACATTGATGCTTAACTTATGTTATTCTGTGAATGACTGTAAAGTTGCACCGATAATATATATTTATTCTCGTTGGAACTGTTTGTCTAATTTAGAAATCAACTTAACAAACAACTCATTCATAATACTTATTTATAAGTTTTCTTGGTGTATTAAATTCATATTTCGTTTCAACATTTGCATGCCCCATTGTATAAAATATGATTCTATATAATCGAATAAATTCCGCATTCAAATTAATAAACTGTTATTGTATTAACAGTTATTTTTGTTAGTGATAAATAGTGTTACCTTGGTGACTTTGATTTAGCGATATTGATTAATGAGTTAGTACATCACACCGTTATGATGCAAATCTACGGTAGCATTTTATTTCAGAACATAATTATAAACTTTCAGTTTTGCGCGTATATTTGTGTTGTTAATTTGCCAGAACAGAATTAATGCCTCTTTGCAGTTTACATTAAAGAACGATTTTATTTGAACAGTCAGTGGAAACCACGAAACAAGTGGGAGCTTTTCCCTCCTAGTATGAGACTATTTGACAATGCAGTGAACTATCCCTTCAGAATTCGTGTCCAATACCTTTAGGCCTCAGAGACAGCTTAACCTTGAGACCACTCAGGTGGCCTCCAATGACCTACCTTTCTGAATTTAGCAACAGTCGTAGTGTTTGTGGCCTTCATTACTTGTCATTGCTGATATCCACGTCCCAACTCTACATGATTAAGCTGTATTAAACAGTCTGTATTATACAGGCTTCATTGCTGGTATTTAATATGCTAGAAATCAATGAATGAAGGCTTTAAGTGTTCACAATTCAAAGTTAATCAGCAGTTCACATGCAACAGAATAAATCACAGTGATTTAATGTCCCTTGAACACTACTGATAATTCCTATGGAAAAAATGAGTAAGTTATGATGGGATAACGGATACATTTTGTTTGGCCGTTAGTTTAGGAATACACAACGATTGATATAATTGAGATAGTTTTTGTAAATGCTGCGTTATTGTCCACATTGACAGAGTAAAGGTTCAATGAAGTTTCTCGTTCATTATAGTTATCTCTCTGGGGAATTGCACTGTCTGAATTATAGCTAAACTATAAGTCTTCCAAGTTTTGATTTGATAATTTTGAATAAATTGAGCATTGGGTAGATTGTTATAAATAAATAATATATTTGTAATATCCCAATGAGTGGAAAAATTAGATTTTCTGACGTTTCTAATTTAGTGTAAGCCACTTCTTCAGAGAATAAATAACCAAATTAACATTAATTCAAGTTTAAATAGTACAACGGAACAATCCAAGAATATTAGGTGATCAATCAAAAACAGGTCTGAATAAATCAATGTCACGTCATTTCATTGCGGTCAAGGTTTTGATTGATCACCTAATATTCTTGGACTGTTCCGTTGTACTATTTAAACTTGAATTAATGTTAATTTGGTTATTTATTCTCTGAAGAAGTGGCTTACACTAAATTAGAAACGTCAGAAAATCTAATTTTTCCACTCACTGAGATATTACAAATATATTATTTATTTATAAGTCTTCCACTTTTAATTAAATGAAAGGAGTTATGATCAGTGAGCAAATTATCTCTATGAAACGTTTTGATCTAGTGTTGTAGATCCAACATCTTACTGCATGGTTGTTCGACGTGTATATGTTTGTTCGCCAATCGGTTCATTATTAGATAGTCCGTCAAAATATTAGAATTTTGTCATATAATTTTTTTTCAGTACAATTGAATAGTGTCTTATAGTGGAATTCAAGATGTGTGTTTCATCTCATATCAAAGGATAGGATACACCCATATCAAAAGAAACAGGTCAATTTGTATTAGTAACATGAATAATAGATAAATACAACATTTTACAACCAAAATGTTTTAAGCAAATCAATCACCCAAACTTGTACACGACTGAGGACATTTCTATAGAGGTTAGAAGAAAAACGTAAGCTATATCTATTATTTGGTTTGTTTAGATGTCTTACAACGAAATTTTAACTGTGTACAGGTTTTTTTCGTATTCAATCTAATTTGAGCTCTATACTCACCAATCTTCTAGAGATTTTATCTTTTAAACAGAACAATAAAAGATGTAGAATAAATGAACACGGTTGCTAGTCAATAATGTGTTTTGGTAGTGCGTGCGTGCGTGTGTACTCAGATATTATTGATTAACTATTATTTATTGAAATATAAATGTTCAAACAACATAACTCATTTGGGGTTAGAAGTAAAACAGAAGTCGTTAGTAGGATCAGATAGCCTTTGTACTTTGGTCGTGTAGTAATGATTATTGAATACAGTGGGTGAATTGTTAGGAGCTTGCCAAGGGACCTAAAGGTCCTGGATCGTAAAGGTGCACTTCTGAGGAGGCCCATACTACAACAAAATAGATATATAGTCCTCCCACGTTTTCAGTGGAACCCTAATTGAAACCAATCTATCACGAGTTATACTTTCAAGTCGACTGTGGAATTAATGGTGATTTAATTTGTCAAGCTTTCATTGCTTATGTTACAGAATGCCAGAATTTTACGTTGATTGACTAGTGATTTTACGAAACATTGGAAGAGACTTCCTAATTGAATTAGGGGGAAATAGATGGTGAAATTACATCTTTACGGATGAAAGGTTTTATGAAGACTGTTCAGTCTGAAAACAATTGGGATTATAAGCTGGCTGGTTAACAGCTACAGAAAGTTAGAAAGGCAGAAAAGTGATTTTTCAGACTACTTTGGTACTCCTCACGAGTGTGTACAAATGGTCTGCCTCCTTCTCCCATGAATATAACCCAGACCTTTCAGTACTCTCAGTTAAATATTGTTTTCTAAACATTATTCTTATAGGACTTTTCAAAATTTTCGTAAGATAACTAAGTTATAATTTACCGAAAGTGGAAAGAGATATATATTCTGTAGATCATTTTTGTTGTTACTACTGTAGGTTGGAGCTATTCTGTATCCTAAAACATCATGGATGCCAGTATGGGATCAGCAAGCTAAACAGAGTATACCAGCAGCTGCAAATTTATTCGCCTATCATATGTTGGGAAATTACATTGTAATCGTTCTAATCACTATAACAATCATGATTCGTACAAAAGTTAGTTTGATGAGTGATAAAACAATGAGAACACGTTTATCAAGAAGAGAACATCGCCAACAACCACAGGAACATCAACAAAGTTCACAATCACTGGAACAACAAACCTTTTCACTTAACAATGATTCTGAAGAAATAGAATTATGGAATTATAATCATAGTTCTACAGGGATTAATGAAGTTAATCAAAGTGACAGGACCTGTGTTTAATGAATGAACCATAAAGCACTTGTCATTTTGTCAATAAGTCATTATGTTGATGCCGAATAGATTGAACTGGTAATAAGCTGAAGCAATTTAAAATGTAATCAAGTTTCATAATATAAAATTATTTCCTCATCTTTTCTTAATTTTTCAACCTCATCGTCATTTCTTGTTTTGATCGTCTAATCTTAATTAAAACGTATGACTAACCCTTCTCGCTATTCGTCTCTGTATCTTAGAGATGGGCGAACCATTTTATTAAAGGGCTGTATGAGCCTATGTACTGTATCAAACATGTGGTGAAGAAAAATCCCTTCAATCTTTTCAGTTAAAATAATAACTGGAATTATTCATTGGCAAAACTATGATTTACTTGCTTAGCTATCAATGTAAACGACACCATATGGTCTGAAAGAGTGCAACTGAACCCTGTGTAAATAGTAATAGTTTTGTCTGTTGTAATACGTAAAATGAAACCTGAATTAGCGTTTGATGGATAGGTGTGTTCAGAAGAATAAATTAACTCCGTAAACAGAATATTCTACTTACAAAATATTGTCAGATATGAAATGTATTTATTGTCAGTGATGAACAGGATTCAATCAATAGATTATTTGTGAAGAACTCCCAAGTTGTTGTCAATCTGAATGTGTATTGATCCCATCTGAATATCACGATTAGTTACCTAAATATCAAAAGAAATCGGAGAACTCAACAGGCTAAAATGGGATACAGAAACCTTTGAAGTCTGCATAACAATGTGCAAATTAGAAACTTGAGCACTGAAAACTGGTGACTGTATCCTGAATAACTTAAAATGAAACTGCTTGTATGTTTATTGTTGAGAAATAAACACAGTGTATTTCCTTAAATGACTTCAACCTTATATTTTATTTTTAGTTGGCCTTGACGAACCAATAGTAAAGAAACATATTCACTTTATTATCAAATCCAATATAGGTGAAATAAACTAATAACTTTCTTTTGGTAAAAAAAGGTTAGGATTAACTGACTGGAACATTTCCAATGCCTAGTATGTATTTCGTTTTATATTTTAAATATGATAGTACTATATTGGTAATTTAATGAAGTTTTACATTAGTGCAAACTCCGCCTGTAGCTCTTCTAGAGTTACTGCCGGTCCCAAGCCCGGGTAAAGGAGGAGGGTTGGGCATGGGGTTAGCGACCCCATCCCATAGAAAAGCTAACTCGCTAAAAAAACGCTAACCAGGAAAAATAATTCAAACCATTTAAACTCTGCCCTCCGGCCTGAAGGAATAATTATGACGTCTCATGATGAAAGCCGAAATTCTTCGGAAGTCACGAGACCGATGCACCTTCTAACAACCAGAGCAACACTCTTTATAGGTACATGGAACGTCCGGACAATATGGGAGACAGGAAAGACCAGCCAAATAGCAATGGAAATGAGGAGATACAACTTAGCAGTACTCGGAATCAGCGAAACCCATTGGACACAAACTGGACAACAAAGGCTAGGTACAGGAGAGATGCTGCTGTACTCCGGTCACGAAGGGGAAAACGTTCCACACACTCAGGGAGTTGCTCTAATGCTGTCCAAAGAAGCACGAAATGCACTTGTGGGATGGGAATCTCATGGAACCAGATCCTGTAGAGCCTGGAACCTGTTGTTGAGAGTTATCTTGAATTCATTGAGCTTGTCAGTATCTCGGAGGAAGGCTGTATTGAACCTTTGTAGTGCTGTTTGTCCAGTTGTCCAGTGTTTCTTCAGCTTCAGTCTCATCTTGGCCACAACCAGGTGGTGATCTGAAGCTATGTCAGCTCCTCTCCGGGTTCTCACATCTTCCATTGACCTTCGGAATTTTTTCTTGATACAGATGTGATCTATCTGGTTCTCTGTGGTGTGGTCCGGTGAGATCCATGTAGTTTTGTGTATGCATTTGTGTGGGAATGTTGTGCCGCCTATAACCAATTTGTTGAATGCACATAGGTTTGCAAATCCCTCCCCATTTTCATTTCTCTCTCCTAGTCCATGTCGTCCAATTATATCTTCATATCCTGTGTTGTCCACTCCAACTTCAGCATTTAGATCTCCCATCAGGATGGTCAGGTCCTTTCGTGAGCACTTCTCTATAATTGATTGCAGCCTTTCATAGAACTGATCTTTATCATCGTCGTTGCTATCATTGGTGGGTGCATAACATTGGATAACGTTCATTGTGATCCCTTGCTTCTTTGAGAGTTTCATAGGGGAGTGAAATCGGTTTGTCTGGAAGTTCCAAAGTCTTTATAAGGCTGTATGCTTCTTTTCCGATGAATGTAAGGAAATGGGCCACAATATTAAGATCCTCATCATCTTCCTTGGTCATAGCTCAGATTTCGAACCTATCCATGTACTCCTCAAAAGCATTAAAATCTGAATTTATATCCAACCGTTCCATCACAGGCTCAATCGCGACGCCAATATGATGATCAGAAGTATTTGAATTGTAGTATAAACTAGTAATCCTAGGAATATCTCAATGTAATCAAGAAGTATTAGATGAGCCCGAACGAATGTATTGTATTTGGAATTCAAAATTACAACAGCCATCAATACAAAGAAGTCATTGATTTATTTAAACATCACACCAGCTCAATTTGATGGCTTAGCTTGGATTGTTTATCCCTTTTCCAAACAATTTACCTAGCTCACTCTTCATAGCCTCGCTTAAATTATATGAAATGAGTCTGCACTTCGAGAAGATGGGCTCTTCCTTCATTTCTAAGTGTTCTGGGTGATTTTTCATACCTTCCACAGCCTTTAAGGATTGTAAGACTAGGTCTTTGATTAACATACTTTCAGAAGAATTGGGATATAATGAATTGCGTACGTTCAGCGATCTAAGACCCCTTAACCTAAGCACAACTACCCTCTTCGTTCTTCAATGTAATGTTAACTGTACCGATAATAGGTAACCGATTTCCAGTAGCCTCAATGACCCCACTACTTGTAGGTATCACATTGACGTCGCCATGAATAAACAATGAAGTTCTCTTGGAAATAATTGAATCTATGCTATCAGTATCAAAAAAATGGACTAGACTAGCCTGTTTGTAGTTAGTTTTGGTGCGCAGTGTAAATTACTGATGCAGGAAGTATTAAGCGACATCGAGTCCATTCTTCTGTCCAAATCAGTTGATTTTGATTCATAATCATTCAGTGTTTTAGTGGTAGATGACTTGAAACTTCTAAAAACTCCTTGTATATGTCCAAACGTTCAACATTTACGATGACGTGCACAATGAAACTAACATAAACCACCACATGAAAGACAGAATTTAATGCCCAAAGTTGAATAAAATGTGCTTTTCTAATTACTCACTTGTCTGATTGATTGGAACAGTTTTTGTTAGAAGAGGTCTAAGGTTTCTGGGGAATAATACGTTTAATCACATTCGATAATAAAACATAGAATTGTTTCGTCACAGCATCATGAGGATCATTATCGACATCTACATGAGTGAAGCAAAAGTCTATAACTATCTGAAGAGTCCTTTTCTAGTTTAGGATCATTTATACCAACAATCAGGCGGTTACAAAGTTGGACAAGCAACCTCTCATCGAGATCGCACTTAGCAGCTTATGTCTGAATCTGTAGTATGAGGTCTCTGATAGTCCTATTTAGAGCACAAACCGATTTATTGAATCATACACTTTCATATGTTTAAAATGATGTCACGTAAAATGATCGGCTAGTAATCTATTTAGTTTGCTGAACCACAGTAGAGTACGTTCTTTAGAATATTCATGATTCTTTAATAGACTGTGGACTTTTCTACCAAAAGATACTATGAAATGAGTTGAAAATCTATTTTCCCCGATGTTACAAGATAAACATCAATCGCCAAAAAATTCTAAATAATCTTCCACGTACGGCTATGAAACATTGATAAGCAATCTCCTCAATTTGTTTAAACCATTTTATGCAGCGAGACCAGATATGAAGTTGAAACAGTCTAACGAAATACTACTAATCCCAATAAATTTAAAACATCGGCAAGACACAAGCAAGAACTCGAATTTGAAGCATAAAATGCGAAAATGTATTCAGTTTTTATAACTCATATGAACACAACATGAAATATCTAGCTGTATAGTAAATGTATTACTATTCACCGACGAATTGCCTTTATTATTTGTATATGATATGTACATAGAACTAAGCTGATGGACCAAAATTGTGACTACTTGTATTAAACGGGGTCGGACCTTATTCCCAGATTCTACTAGAAAAAGAACGGTGTCTAATTGACTTTATGTTAGTTTAAGCAATATTTCAGATAATAGTGTGATTTTCAATTCTCAGACTCGCTTCAAAAAGCTTAAGAATCATTATTATCAAACGGAAGATGGCCGTTCCTATGTTTATTCAAGTGAAGAACCAATAGATCTCGAAATATTCCAGTTAAAAAATGGTAAATCATAGCGACACTAATTACTTCAGGGAAAACTAGAGGGCAGCTGGCTCAATATAATTATCAGTGCCGAGTCGACTTATGTCATTACTCGAGTGACTGAAATTTAACTATTTTCTAATGTACATATCTGGACACTCAAATACCACATTATCTTATCCAAAAGCATTTCGGGTACAAGGTGTTATTATTGGTTTCACCTTGGAGAACCGGGAAATAGGAGAGGCCTCAGATGGAGACAGGTTGTAAGCAAATTTTACCAGTGTTTATTGTCCTCTGTCAAGTGTTAGTAATCTAGGGTCGTAAAGTAAATACCTGATACTGACTGCTTTGACTTATGCATTTTGTGTTATCTAATCTCGAAATATATCATACACAAATAATCAATGGTTTTTAATGTTCATGAACATGGTTGCTTCCACGAAATGTCACTACTTATCTACGAAAATAGTTGCTATGATATTTAAGCTATTATTTTTATTCATACTGAGCACTAAATGCCACCCCAATTTCTTTAAGCTGCAAGATAAGGTAAATTTTCAGCCAAGCCTTGACAGATGTACTGTTTCATGGCTTACGAAGCATTATTCAGAACGACCAAAATATAATTGCTTTGGTATTACGCTAACGTTAACAAAAAACTTCTAAATTCTGGCTTGATCAAGTACGTGTGAAAAGTTTTTAAAAAGCGTTC